AGAGAGAGAGAGAGAGAGAGAGAGAGAGAGAGAGAGAGAGAGAGAGAGAGAGAGGAATTTCAACACGACTCCCCACTTCCCAGAGTACTGCAAGTTAGAAGACAACCCAAGATCTTTAAAGTGTTGGGAAGATTTCTACCAATCTATAACTCTACATCCAGTGAGAACACCCTTTAAAGATGAAAGTAAAATAAAACACTTTTTCCAAGCTGGCAGCTAGCACATAATATGTAAGGGAACCAGGCATGGAGATCTGGGCCAGTAATCCTTGCATTTGAGAGGCAGAGGCAGGAGGATCAGGAATTCAAGGACAACCTCCAGGACATGAGACTCTGTCTCAAAAAAGAAACAAAACAAATGGATACTTTAAAGGAAATTCTTAAAACAGAAGAAAATGTGGATCCATACATGAGAGTTAAATATTTTATGCTCAGTGGGACTCTGAAAATGGTAAATATTTGGGTAGATATCAAGGACTCTTACTATCGTTTTAACATTTATTCAAATGTAATTGATCACCTAAATATAAAGTAAAAACAATATATTGTAGGATTTATAACCCAGGAATTGAAAAATGCATGGTATCAATAGTGTCAAGTGCAAGAGGAGACTGGAATGAAGTATAAAGTTATGAAATTCTTATATGTAAGAGGTATGTCCAAAGGAGGCAAGCTAGAGTAGAATAATATAAACCATAGATTAATCATTTACAATAAACCATAGCTAATAAACCGGTCTTACTGATAAAACGATTTGAAAATAGTTAATAAAAGAGAAGGGAGGGGCTGGGAGATGGCTCATGGCTATGTGCATATTTCATAAGTGTGAGTGTGGACTCAGGTTGGATCCTTAGCACCCAAGTAAAAAGTAGGGAGTGGTGGCCGCATCTGGAACCTCAGTGCTGGGGGCAGGGGAATGCCTAGGGTTCAGGGACCAGCCAGTTCAGCTAAATAGATGAGCTCTAGGTTCAAGAGCAAGACCACATCTTAAGATAAGATGACGTCAGGGGCTGAAAAGATGGCTCAGCTGGTGTGAGTTCTTACAGAGCATCAGAGGTCATTACCAGCATGCCCACCAGGTAGCTCACAGCTGCCTATAACTCCAGCTCCAGAGGTCCAGAACACCTGGGCTCTGCAAGCACCACATGTGCACATAACCACACACACGCACATGTACACCCAGACCCAGCACTTGGGAGGCAGAGCCAGGTGGAACTCTGAGTTCGAGGCCAGCCTGGTCTACAGAGCGAGTTCCAGGACAGCCAGGACAGAGAAACCCTGTCTCAAACAACAACAACAACAACAAAAAACAAACAAACAAACAAAAACAACACACAAATAAAATAAAATAAAATAAAATAAAATAAAATAAAAAGAAATCTTCAAAAGCATACGTGTGTGTTTTAAAAAGCTAAGAAGAAGAAGACATCAAAGAAGACATCTGTTGGTGACTCTAGCCTCTAAGAACACATCCACTCACATGCACACACCCACAAGAACACGAAATAACCCTCCCACATGTAAACCAAAATATAGTTTAGGCTTAATGGAAAGAAAGTGTATGTAGTATTTGTGAAATCCAGCTGGAAGGGAAGTTCCTAGGCTTAAACATTCACATCAGAGTGTAAGACAACTCGATAAGCAGCAACCTGTACATCCACATCACACTAGAAGTACAGTGAAACAGCTCTCAAGTAGGGAAACCCTTTCTACAAAGGGCAGAAGGAGTATCAGCGGAGTTGGAAGCTGGTTCTGTAAAAATCTCAGTATAATACCCGAGTGCTTCTGCTCTGAGATCGATAATAAGCCATTTTGTAGTGGAACCTACATACCTGGAATGGAGAAGTTACATTTATTATAGTGCTTACACTGCTGTGGTAATCAAGTCAGTGTGTTTTGGCACAAATTTGACAGGATCAACCAACACAATAACGTTCAGAATTAGACCCATACAAATTAAAATTGATTTCTAATGAAGATACTAGGCAGTTCAACATTACCTCTCCAATAAATGCTCTAGAACAACTTATCTGTGTAGAAAAAAAAAGAACTTGACTTTATCTTACTTGAGTTATCCTGAAATATACTTAAGTCTCTGCCCTGGTTAGCTTTGTCAGCTTGACACAGCCTGGAGTCATCTGAGGAAACCCTCAGCTGAGGAACGGACTAATCAGATTGGCCGGTGAGGGGCTTATCTCGATGGTTAACTGATGTAGGAGGACCCAGCCCATCTGAGCAGCTGCACCATCCCTATGCAGGTGGTTCTGAGACAGCTAAGCAGCAGCCTGGGAGTTACCCAGAGAACTAGCTAGGAAGCAGTGTACCTATGGTTCCTGCCTTGACTTCTCTCAATAATGGATTATGACCTGGATGTGTAAGCCAAATAAATCCTCTCCAGAGTACTTTTGGCCAGAGTGTTTTTATCACAGCCACAGAATGAAACTAGAATAATCCCAAATATAAACAGTGAAGTGATAGATAAAACTTACCAGAAGAAATCTTATCACCTTTGTGTAGACAAAGATTTGGTAGCTAGGACACACACACACAAAATGAACATAAAAGAAAAATTTTGTAAATTGGAACATATTAACAATTTAAAAGTAATGTTCTTGGGGCTGGAGAGATGGTTCAGCAGTTAAGAGCTCTGGCTGATCTTCCAGAGGACCTGGGTTTGATTCCCAGCACTCACATGGCAGTTCACAACCATCTGTGACTCCAGCCCCAGGGGATCTGATGTCCTCTTCTGGGTTCCTCAGGCACTGCACACAAGGTGCACAGACACATGCAGGCAAAACACTGATATACATAAACACATTTTGAAACATTAAAATTAATGCTTCTCACAAAACATCAGTAAGAAAATGCAAATACAAAGGGGACCTCAGACTGCTGGTGTGTGTGTGTGTATACATGTAAGGAGTCTTTTTCTGTCCCGCCAGCTCCCAAATAATGACAAGTAGACTTCTTATTAAATATGAAAGCTTTGGCCTATAGCTTAGGCTTGTTCCTAACCAGCTCTTATAACTTAAATTAACCCATTTATAGTAATCTGCATTCTGCCACATGGCTCGTGGCTGTTACTTCTCCTCCCGCACATGCTGCTTGCTCTGCATCTTCTGGCATCCCCCTACACCTTGATTCCTCCTCCTCTTCCTCTCTCTCTACCCAGAAGTCCTGCCTACACCACCTGCCTAGCTAGTGGCCGTTCAGCTTTTATTGCACCAATCACAGCAATACATCTTCACACAGTACACAAATAACCCACAACATGTACATAGTTAATTCTCTCTCTGTCTCTCTCTGTCTCTGTCTCTGTCTCTGTCTCTCTCTCTCTCTCTCTGTGTGTGTGTGTGTGTGTGTGTGTGTGTGTGTGTGTTTTAAGAACCATGTATTACTTTTCTCTTGACTGTGTCAGAGTACCAGAGAAAAGCAACTTAAGGAAGAAAGACTTTCTTCTGTCTCTCAGCTTAAGGCCCATTTTCGTGGGGGAGACAAGATAATGGGCACTTCAGACAGCTTATTCCATTCCTCCTACAGTCATAAGGCAGAGACAGATGACTTCTGGTGCTCATTTTGTGGTCTCTCCCTTTTACTTGATCTGATACCCACCATGGAATGCTGTCACACCCATTTAGTGCCAACTCAATCTAGAAACTCCTCTGTAGACTTGACCAGAGGTCTGTCTGCTAGGAGATTTTAGATCTTGTCAAGTTGATAGTCAATATTAACCATCACAAAGTAGTGTCTAGAATGCATACTGAACTCTGAAGTCACTGACAGAACCAGTTACAAAGTCAATAAAAAGCCAGACAGTGGTAGTGCACACCTTTAATCCCAGCACTCTAGGGGCAGAGGCAGGCAGGTATCTGTGAGTTCAAGGCCAGACTGGTCTATAGTGAGTTCCAGGACAGCCACAGCTATACAGAGAAACCCTATCTTGAAAAAAACAATTAAAAAGTCAATAAAAGGGACACATTTGAATACATTCTTTTTTAAAATTTATTTTTATTTTATGTGCATCAGTATTTTGCCATAGGTGTCAGATCCCCTGGAACTGGAGTTACAGCAATTGTGAGCTGCCATGTGGGCACTGGGAATTGAATCTGGGTCCTTTGGAAGAACAGCCAGTGCTCTTAACCTCTGAGCCATCTCTCCAGCCTTTGAATACATTCTTCACCAAGGGAGATATATTGAGGTTCGGTATCATTTGTCATCAGAGAAATGAGTTATAGCCTCAGTGTGATGCTATCAGAGGTTTATTAGGAGATTAGGGTGGGTCAATTTCAAAGGCTGAAATTATCGCCTTTTGGTAAAAGATCTGGAACAGCTCATACACTACAGGCAGGAGTATAAAATTGTACCAGAACAACTTAGTGGATTGTCTCAGTAGTTTCTTATAAAGTTAAATATGCACCTACCATCTCATTCAAAAATTCAATTCTTAGATATTTATCTAAGGAAATGAAAACGTGTCCATGTAAAAAGTTGTGCACAAACATTCCTCTCACTTCCAAGTAACCACTCTGGAAACAGCATAAATGTCTATTAACAGGTAGATGTATAAATCAGACATTTAACAATGAAGTATTACCCCACAATAAAAAGAAGCAAAGCATTCAGATGTGTAGCAACATGTGTAGCTGTAACTGAAGAAGCCAGGAAGCAAGAGGAGATGTTGTTGGAATGTTCAGTAAAACTCTGGGAAGAAAAACAACATTGGGACGAGAAGGAAGTCCATGGTTGCCCGGGGCTGAGAATGGGATAACATCAACTGGGATATGTGGTAAATGTTCTCTATCTTGATCTCACCCCCAGAAACAAAGGAGTATACACTTGTCAGAACTCATAGGATGTGCTCCTAAGATGAGATATGTGCCTTACAATGCATTAAAACTGGGCTTGCATGGCCAATGGGATGGCTCAGTGGGTAATGGTCCTTGCTGCTAAATCTAACAATCTGAGTTCCATCCTCAGACCCCACATGATGGAAGGAGAACTGATTCCCAAAAATTGTCTTCCGACTTTCACACGTACACCATGGCATGAGTGCATTTATGTGCACACAGGCACACAAAATAAATAATAAATAAATGTAATTGTTGTTAGTTGGTCTTTGGGGGTGGGGTGCCTCTACCCAGCTCCCAAATAAATTGCACACAGAGGCTTATTCTTAATTATGAACGACTGGCCTTAGCTTGGCTTGTTTCTTGCCAGCTTTCCTTAACTTATATTATCCCGTCTACCTTTTGCCTTGGGCTTTTCCTGTTCTCTTCTGTAAATCTTACTCTTACTCCGTGGCTGGCTGTGTAGCTGGGTGGCTGACCCCTGGAGTCCTCCTCCTTCTCTGGCTACTTCTTTTTCTGTCACTCAGATTTCTCCTTCTAAATATCTCTGCCTGCCAGCCTCACCTATCCTTTCTCCTGCCTTGCTATTGGCCGTTCAGTTCTTTATTAGACCACCAGGTGTTTTAGACAGGCACAGTAACACAGCTTCACAGAGTTAGATAAATGCAACATAAACAAAAGTAACACACCTTAAAATAATATTCTACAACATGCAATAACAATCCAGGTTTGTGCATAGAAGTTGCTTTGTTTTTAAGGGGCAAATTCATGGTGGAGTCCATGAAGAAAAACTTTATAAAGCTGTTGACAATTTTCCCATTTATAAAATTTGTTCTACATTGAACATTAGGAATTTCTGTGATTTCAGCATTTTGTTTGGGCCATGTTGGAACACAGTAGGTAGAGGGGAGAAAACAAAAGGCCAAGATTTTGTGAATTGATTTATTCAAGCATCTATTGAGTACTCTGTATGTATCAGTATATGCTAGGTACCTGTTATGTAAAGGGGAGTATAAGTAGCCCTTGACCTTTGAAGAGCTCGTGCCTACTAGAGTATGAAATATGGCATTATTAGTGCTGTAAGAGCAGTATTACACAGGGAATAATAATGCACTCCCCACAGTGGTTTGGGACCTAGGAGGTGATAATTGCATTTTCTTTGAAAGCCAGCCAGTGGTTAAAAGTATATGCTTCGGAATCAGAGTGATTTAGAAGGAATTCTGGCTATACTATTTACTGTGTCAAGTCAGAATCAATGTAAGGTGCCGTAAGGTCAAGTGTCATGGAGTCACACATGTGCTTACTAAGCGATAGCTGTTGTGTTGATGTGGGTTGTTCTGGGTGTAAATGATCACGTGCACGCAGGCATGGGAGGTCACAGTTTCAGAACGAGAAGTTCGGCAGTGTATGGGGGAGGGGGAGAGCATATCATCTGAAGGTCAGGATGTGGTCACACCGTGAAGGACTGTACTGAGAACCCTGAGCTATGTCCTGCGGTGGTGCCTTCCTGCTGCAGGTTCCTAAGCAAGGCAGTGGTGTGTAAGGGGTTCCTGGGAAGGTGACTCTGACGATGTTGGTGGGGGAGGAAAAGGAGGGAGGCAGAGGTCAGTAACGTGGCTGTTGCAGCCTAGAGACAATGGAGGTGTATGTGAGGTCCATTGCTCAAATAGAGATGGCTGTAGTCTGAGATGCCTTTCAGAAAAGTGGTCAGCGGAATGCAGTGATACCTTCAACAAGGGACCCGTTGAGGATAGTTCTGAAAAGCCCAGCTTGGGTACCTGAGGGATGGTATGAGGGTTCATAGAAACAGGACAGATACGAAGGAGTAGTTGTCTTTCATGAATTAAAACAGTGGCTGCTTTACACAGAGAAGAACGTGACTTTGAAAGTGTTGAAGTACTTATTCTTAATATACATCTTTTGAGTATTCTCCAATACATGTAACTATATATATGTTAATAATATACATGCAACAGTAGTCTAATATTCATATGCATTAAAGACATACACAAAGTAGAAAAATTAGATGAAATGAGAGACATACATCAATCAAAATTGTATTCCCCCCCACAGTCTACCAGGACGCAGTTTTGACTATCAAGAGGACAGGTGCCACCGACTTTAGATCCACAGGGTCAGGTCACCTGCAGTATTGTCGAGAAGGGATCTGCTGGGGTGCCTTCACCCGGGGAAGCTTTTTATTTTTTATTTATTCTTTATTTTCCTAAAAGCTTTTTTTTCTGAGTTTATGCTGTGAATGGGCATATTTGTGAAATGTTCTTAGTATCCATGGTGCCTTGCTCTAAAAGGCCACTGTAATTCAAACAAGCAAGTTTTGACTTTCTTGGCACAAACTTTGGCTGTGACATGAAGCACCCTTCCCCCTTAAAATCTCTGGTCAAGAGTTCATTTCAGGCCCCTCTGCTGGGAGTCCCAGCTGCAGAAAACCAGGAAGAGAAGCTTACATGGTTTGGCCAGCACAAAGGAGTCCATGACCTCTTCCCCCTAAGATAATATGAATGTGCTCCATTACTCTGACAGCTCAGAGCAAAGCACAGGACTCGACATTTAAAAGAAATGTCGCTGCTAATGTACTACTGCAGGTTATCCAGGACTCTGCCTTTCGATTGCAATTTCTTTGTGGTTACGTGAAGTCTGTTTTACGTGGAGGGCTACTGCTGCCAGATTTTGATTCAGAGAGCACAGAACAGAATTTTGACTAATTGGTCCAGTAGGAACTGGAGCAGGATCCAGACAACTCTGGGGGTCTGTGGGCAAGGAAATGGGGAGACTTCAGCTGTCCCCAAGGCAGCCTCCTGACAGATTGCCCCGTGGACTTAATCAATGCATTTATGTCTCGGATAAGACCTGCGAACTGATTGGACCAGATTCCATTATACCTCCTGCTATCTATGATAACTATATACACAAAATCATGAGCCTGGAATTCCTTTTAAGGGCATAGAGCAGAAGAAAACATAACATGAAACTCTACACCCTCTTTTGGTCCAGACTGCAGTGAGGAAGGGAGGGAGTGGGTGGATGTTTGGCTTGCTAACATCTGCTTAAGCTTAGCTGGTGTTGTGAATGGACCTCCAGTCTCTGTGAGGCTAGCCATGCAGGTCTCTCTGGCATCCAGAAGCAGTGGTGAGCACAGCTGGAACCAAGGCCTGGTGAATCACAAGCCCTTCCCCCTCCAGAAGTGTAGGGAAAGGAAATCAGTGGGTGCTGTCATAGGTGCCACATGTGGCTTGAAAAAAGGCTTCAAATGATTCAATCTGCGGATCATATCATTCTGTAATGAAGATTTACATATGGGAGTAAGGAGGAAGGGCTGCCTGTCAAGTTTCTGCTTCTGTTTTCTGACTCTTTGTTTATTTTGCTGTGGAAGGGGAGGGTCAGGG